GTCGGAACGCAATTTTTTTTGGCGAAAGTAGCAGGACGAGGCCAGTTCAATCTCGTATCGAGAATCGGATTATTTTTATATTTTCATTAGCGGCGGTTAATGATCGAACTTACGGCGAGCCGCGAAACACACTGTTGCGAGTGCCGATTTTCTGCGGCCGCTCAAGCAGTCCTGCTGGTACATGGCAGGAGTTGTGGTCATCGTCGTTAGCGTCAAGAAGCGACCACCAGAACCACGAACCATAGACAAAACAGTAGGGGCCAGACCCATGAAATTATTATATGAAATGCGAGATAATAACATTAGCCCAGACGAATAGTTGATGCTAATGGATTTGCTGTTAAGAATCAACTGTGTGCAAGATGTTTTACTTTTGTAACAGTCAAAAATTGTTTTCTTTACGTGAATTCAAGGTTCTTCCATAGCATAAACCATAACATAGAACAGCTTACAATTTAATTGAAGCAGTCAACAGATTTTTAATTATACGAGCAGGTGCTTAGAATGAAATACACTTTTTTGTAATAGTAGTCAATTAGACGTGATTTTTGTTAGTACTGCAATTCCGGACCAAAATTTTTATTTGCCTATATGAACTTGGAAATTCTAGCATTAAAAATGGTGAGTTTTTCTCGCTTTTGGGCTGCCGCGAAAAATAATAACTTTCAAAAGTTTCCCACCCACGAGTCCATTGCATCCTGAGCTATTTTGCTTAAAAGCTTTCGGTCGACTAATGATCACTGATTGATCGTGTTGGTCCAGTGTGAGCTTTAGAGCCCTGAGGATTCAAGCCAGTGTTTTTGCAAAACCTCAGGAAGAGATTATGAGGAAAACGTCATATTTTTTAATTGTTTTGATAATGCAAATATTAACAAATAATATGTCTTTTGGCGAGCCGTATTTTATTTGGTGAGCAGTATTCAATGCAGCCAGACCCGCTGTAGTAAAGAAGAGGTTGTAGAAAAAATTGTAATTTTGACAAAAATTGTTTAAAAGTTACGAAGAAACATGAAGTAACTTTTTACTGACAATATTTTGCGGTGGTTTTCAAAAGTTCGGCAATATTTGTTATACCTGCATCGAGTGCATCGGCATTTTTCATGCTGTCTTCTGTGTTGTAATCGGAATTATAATGTACCCGATCCAACGTTCTATACAAAGTCCAAATTTCCTATATGCTCATTTCCTGCTAAGGTTTTAGCAACTCCAGCTCATCTCTAAATCTAAATAAAACTTGTAATTAAAGAGGACATTTTCTGTTTTAAAAAAATTAAATGATATATTTGGCGCTTTTAGTAATTTTATTAGTTCTTTTTGTTACTATTTTCCTCTCTTTAATCCTTATTTAAATTATGTTTTACTGATTAGCATTCTGCAAACAAGTGTAGTGCAAATTGTTTTATATTTATTTATTCAATAAACTGCTCAACAAAATCAGAGCTACGCTGACAAATTTGGACCAACTTTTTTATTGGAAAAATTCTGATTGCTGTTCTATTCTGCCATTCTATTTCTGTAGATAAGTTTTATATTGTTGAGGCGGATTCATTTTTTTACAAACTTCTTATTGGGTATTTCGCCTCAAAAATGTTTGTCTTTAAAAAAGACAGAATTTTCTCACGTCTTCTATAACAGATTGATAAATAGTGCTCCTATTTTGCAATAAGAACGAATTATTTATCAAAAAGTAATCAAGAACTATCATCTAGAGAGTATCCTGCGACACACTTAGGCTCAAGCTGAAAGAGAAAATTCCAATTAGAAAAGAAATTAATTTGAAAAATTGCCTTGACGTTCCGATAGCTATTTTCTGCTATTGTTATCAAAAGAACCTAAATGAACCTAAAAAAGAGTATGTTAAGAAATTGTGTAACAATAGTAGGATAATACAGTATATGAAAATTCAACATAACTGACAATTTGCACAGACGAATTAACAGAGCGAATTTTCATATACTGTATTATCCTACTATTGTTACACAATTTATTAACATCCTCTTTTTTAAGTTCATTTAGGTTCTTTTGATAACGATAGCAGAAAATAGCTATCGAAACATCAAGGTAATTTTTCAAATTAATTGCTTTTCTAATTGGAATTTTCTCTTACAGCTTGAGCCTAAGTGTGTCGCAGAATACCCTCTAGATGATAGTTCTTGATTACTTTTTGATAAATAATTCGTTCTTATTGCGAAATAGGAGGACTATTTATCAATCTGTAATAGAAGACGTGAGAAAATTCTGTCTTTTTTAAAGACAAAAATTTTTAAGGCGAAATACCCAACAAGAAGTTTGTAAAAAAATTCTATTTCTGTTTGAAGCGTTATTTAGTGCAATTATTTTCAATTTTGTGTGCAAATTTGTGTATCAGACAAATTTTCTACAGGGTAACAAATGGATCAATGCACAGCTGGTGCAAGTTTCACATGACCAGTTGGACAAAAAAACTTTTTTGGTCAACAGAAAGATAGACTTCGTATATTTAAACAGTTTTTGAATTTTTTGCTAAACGCGTTTATTTACAGAGTGCTTTTAAAAAATTAATTTTGGGAAATGCAGGGACAAATGTTTTTTTAAGTCACTAGCAAATTCTAAAGCGCACCGTGAAGCTGAAACTTCGCAGTCGACTTAAATTGTCTAAATGTTAGCTTCAGCATGAGCTCATGATTCTAAAGATCGACCCGAAAGCAGAAAAGTTTGCTGCAAGAAGATTTTTTAAGACCACCCTGTATTCGAAAGATATGGCTGCAAAATCAAAGAACAATTTTGAGCTATTTAGTTTATCTTTGAACTTTTGATGTTGAGATCCCGAAAACCTCATTTTTGTTTAACTAGGAGCGTGCCGAACTTTATCTAATTTTGCATTTTTTTATTTTCCGCCCTGTAGAAAATGTATCTGATTTGTTTAATTTTGATCAAAACATTGTCGAACAGAAAGCAATAGGTTTAGCTAATCTTCAAACGGAGGACAAATGGCTAGAAGCAACCAAAATGTATCTACTTCAAAAATTAGGGCAAATTTGGCTGTGTAACATTTTGTTGCGCAGTTTATATGCATATTCAGATCAACTAAATCACGTTCTAAGCTGGCTGAAATTTTTATGTAATTTTGACATAGCTAGATTCATTTGAACAAATTATCTCTAAAACTACGACTGTGCGTTAAATTGATTTTATTGAAAAAATAATTTTATATTTTACATTTTATTTATAATAAAAAAAAAATTGTTTTGTTAGTTTTGTTTTTAAAAAATTAGTTGTTAATTAATTTGGGCTGATTTCAGTGAAATAAAGCAATTCTAATCCTTACGAGTATTTCCCAAAATCTACTCAATATGTCGGTTATTTTTAGCTGTAATTTATGTAATGAAAACCGTTTGAGAAAACAGAGCAATCCAGTATTTAGATTTCGTCTTACGGATCGATCTATTTTCGTATTGGAATGTCAGATCCAGATTTGAAGCAGATAAACACAAACCTGCTTGAACAGGGCAGTTTATTGACAAAAGCGATGTTTTTGGTTTGGTGTTACAATGCAAATAAATCGGATTAATGGATTTCAATTATCGACTTCCGTACGTAAGACCCAACTTTTGGCTGTTCATTCATCTCAATTAATATTGAAAATAAAATCGTTGTTTGCGCAGTGTAAGACCATATGAAAATGTGCTCGGTTAAACTAAATGTTTTGGTGTTCCATTTGATCACCTCTATATATAAGTTCGACTTATCAGCCTTGAACTTCTTTCTAATGGTTTTTTTCTATGAAGTTTCGAAGTTACCATTTGCCGCTTATAATTACTTTTATAGAGTTCTAACTATGTTCTAGCGTGATTAATGCGTAACGAAATGGACAAGGTTATAGACCAAGTATCACGCTTAGTTTATTATGATGCGGATTATCTAGCATATTTGTAATTTTTTAGAGCTTTTACTATGCACAGATAAAAGGTCATTTATAATGTATTACGATTGCATTGAGCAATGTAACGGGAACATTACAAAAACTATATATATGAATCATTACTTGAAAAAATATTTATGGGTTGCATGCTCATTTCAGTGGCAAGTGCTAATGTATCACTTCTGTTAACTTCCCGAAGTGGAATGATATGAATTCATAAAATGTCTGAATTTATGGCTTATTATAATAAGCCTTCGAAGTTTTAGCGGAAATATTAGTCTGCGGTCCATCCAGCTTATTCTACTTAAAAGCGTCTCCAGTTTATTTGACGTTTTCCAACTTATTTCGCTTACTTGCTAGATATCCCACATTTTTTCCACCATTTTTCAGGTTGCAAAAAAAGGCAATTCATTGCTCCCAGTATTTAAATAATGATTGCTTGGCAAGCATTTGCATCGTTGAAATTACTTACCAGAAATTAAATTGCGAATTTAAATTTACGATGTTTTTGAATCAAAAATTTGTTTTTAAAACTCTGTAGCTTCTGTTGCAATTCTATACATACAGTTAATTTCGAAAAAAGCCTTCTTTCATTATTTATTAATTATTAAACAGCATAACATATATATTCATGAAAATGTGTCTTCACCGTTTAAAATATCCATGCAATCCATCAAAAAATTGATTACGTGTTACGTAAAAACCAGTGATTGTTTAAAATTAAGAACTGCCAGATAATCTCAGACATGCATATAAAAATAAACGAAAAAAATGGCGTGGGATGAACTAAAATTGAAAGAGGGGTAATTGGACCGTCAAGCATATAGCCATTAAATTGAGGTACGCAAAATAGCAGCATCAATGAAATTAGTGTCAAGATTTCCAGAATGTTGGCAAATTTTTGATAGCCTGGAAAATTATGTTTGTGGTTGCGCAATTTCTCTAAGAATAGTATCGAAACACTTATAAAACCAATACGTAAATTGTAAATATGCGTCTAAATTTCGATACTTACCCACAGCGAAAGCAGCTTAAACAACAAAAGGAACAAATAAATAATCGTCAATCATGCAGTATAGTTTGCAAATAAAAAACCATGCGTTTTTAATAAAGTGTTTAATGACCAACAAAATAGCACATTAACAATTATTATACAAAAAGCAAAATAAAGCATTAACAATGTAAATAAAATGCCTTGTAGAATAAAATATACGACAGTAAAACAATTGATCTAAGAATAAAAAATTGGCACATTGGATTATACCTACGAATGACTATTAATCGAGAAATTAATTTTTCGTAGATTTATGAAAAATCCGAGCAGGTTTTTTAGATTCCTTAGGCAAGAAGTGCTTATAAATATAGGAAAGCCATCCAATTAGACATGAGGGCAAGTGTTTAATATACAACTCGAATAACGCTAAACTGCTCTATCAAGTGGTAATTTTTAACGGAACATTTGCAACTTAGCTCAGCATAAACTTCTTTATGGTTTGTTGCGTAACGTTTCGATAGCTGCTATAATTACTCCAAGCTCCATCTTGCTCAAACACACCTACCTCGTTTATTCTAGCTAGCAGATCATCTGGGTGAAAGTTAGCTCCAGGTTTATCCACTTTGTGTGTCACTTCTTTTCCATCTTCAGTCTGATATTTCACTGTTTCTTCTCTAGTGGTGATTGGCCCTAAAAATTATATGGAAAAATAAATATATAAAACTAACCCTTTAGTCCAGATAGTTAGAAATGCAAAAGCGTCAGAACAAAAACAGTTTTTTATTACTAAATATTTTTTTAATGAAGCCGACGATCAGCAAATCAAGGGATCTTGTCTAAATTCGAGAACTGAAGATTTTGTCCCTATAATTCAATAATGTTTGGCATTTCGTGCCTGAGTGCTAGCTGTTTTACTCCAGTTCTGTTTCACTTTCTTTGGCTCTGTTATTCTTTTCTCGTTTTGGAATACTTCGAACTCAACTATCCAACATCAACCCTAAGTAGTCGCATTTACAAACTAACCTTCCGAGTCCTTTTCCCTAACGATTTCTGATGTGAGCACAAAAGATTTAACACCCAAATTATGTCTCTGCTGAACCTTGATATGCGTTGTTTCTGTGACCTCCCTGACAATTTTTCCTGGTGGAACTTCTGGTGAAGGCTTCAACACCTGAAATTTGTCCTGTTAATTTATGTTGCGAATATTTAATTGGAAAATCTACCTCTTTTGAAAGAGGGAGTTCTCCTTCGGGTGGACATCCAACAGCCAGAACCATTTTCTCCTTGGAAACGTTCTCTCGCATATCGTCTTTTCCATGCTGCCACCATGACGAAAAGTGTTGCTCGCATTCTGAGGCGGTGTTATAGGAGGAAGAGCGCGAATGCTGCAGAGTAGTGTCAGAAGCGGTTAGGAACTCTTCGTCTGAGCGAAGCTGATCGTCTGTCTTGTTCACTTTCTGAAATTTAAATTCATTGGTTTACAAGAATTTTGGTCTCAGATGAAGGCGGGCGTTAAATTGTCTTACCTCAAAAGGTTTATTCTCATTGTCCATGCTGCTAATGTCAATTTTCGGAAGATCGATGTAATTATTATTAACTTCCCCAACAGTACTGGTAGATGTGGATGTTGTAGAAAATACAATACAATCCTGCTGAGCGCTTTTCAAAGCTTGGTCAAGCTCTTCTGAGAGTTGCGTTACTTCTGAGAGTCTCTCCGAAATCGCTTCTATGGCAATCTCATTATTTTTTATCGAGTTGTTGCAAAGCTTTTGGAATTCGTCTTCGATGTGGTTGGCAACAGATGCAGGAGTGAAAAATCTAAAAAAATTTGAATATTTCAGTATAGGTTCGATATATCTTGCAGCTGGACACATTGATATTGCAGATTTGTCTCCATTATTTCCTATCAAAGTAGTACTTTTGCCGCAGGCAAGTGTCTAATTTATGAATTAATTTTCTAGGAACGAAAAATGTATTTTGATTAGTTCCTTGTATTCTTGCCACTGGTGGCTTTTAAATTGTGAGATCAAAGCAAAAGCGGCGATGTAAACAAAAAAATCCATCAACCTAAGGGATCACATGATTTTCCTGTTTTTCTAAAAATAAAATTATGTAGTTGGTATTCAATCATTACGTTATACATAAATTTGAATCGAACGTATTTCAGGGGATCGAGAATTGACTATTTAACGACTTCGACCACGATTTTGGAGAGAAAATATGCTTGCATTTAGGAGTTTATAACAGTGCAAGTGTAAAGACCTCCACAATGCAACTTCATGATTGCTGCGCAAATGTAGCATCTATTAAACGCTTATTTAATTCGTTCATTTATTACAGCAAACATTTGTATATAATAAGTAAGGAAAAAAATTACTTTGATTTTTTTTAAAACTTAACCGTTATATAAACTTATTACAACTCATCAAACTAGACTCAGTGATCCATTTTTATTGCTATTGAATGTGTTGTTTATAATTACCTTAAAGGCCAGGTTAAATATGCGAAATCTCAGTCTTTATTTCCGAAAATACTCGCGATTAATTCATGGATGATTATAATTGAATTTTTAAGTTTAACATAAGCCAGACTTTGAGTTTACGTTCAATAAACAAATATATTTTGAAACATTCCCTGGCCTTTGATCTGGTGCAATAAACGTAAATTTTTTTGAGGACATACATATCTGCAAAACATACAAAAACTAATTTTACACTATGCGTGGGACACAGATAGCAAAACTAATTTGGAATCGCATGTTTTACTTGAGAGTTGGCTCACTCAGACTGTCTCTTTACTTCGCTAATTCTATGAGATCGATAAACTCTTTAGCCATTTGTTGCGGGCAATTGAAATGTCACGCAAATTAGCTGGAAAAACTCTAAAACGAAAAAGTTTACTTACTGGATTTTCAACTTGTTAAACTGAAGCCGGTTAAGTCACAACTGGCGTCTAAGCCGACCCCTCCACTTAGAAAATTCAAATTTAGCTCGGAAAAGTATATGAACTCTGAATGTTTTTGGTTTTAGTGGTTTTATTTAACTTGTTTTGCGGTTTCCTTTCGCTTGTAATAGGAGTTAATTGCAGTGGAAACGTAATCCTCTCTTGGGCGAGGCTTTTAAATGTGTTGTCATTGTTTGAAACAAGTTTTTGAAAGGTTTCGCTAGTTTAAATTAACATTTTTTATTTTGTTTCAGTGACCTACCGCCTGAAGAACCTCTGCGCGTAAGTAAACTCTTTGAGAACCGCTGTGTCTACAAAGAGTTTTTTGAACACGAAACCTCGTATATTCTGGTAAATTACATTGGGAAGATGTTGTACCTGAATGGTGATTTATGGGTTGCTTTGAAAACAGACTCAAACCTGCATTCAATATAAAGCAAGGAACGGGGGTTTTAAATTACTAACGATTCCTCCTCGTAAAGTGGCTCCTTCAGTCGGCTTCTAAGCAATCGGCCCAGCCTCACCATTCTTCCAACTTCCACCATCAGCTTTTCCCTGTCGTCAAAATACTGATGCACTTTCAATCTCCTTTTTGCTAAACTAAGAATGGGAATTGTCGCTACAGCTTCTCTTAAATCACGCAGCTGATTACAATGCTCCTCTATTGACCTGTTGGCAGAATATTTTGTTTAATCGCCCCTAACAAGACCTTAACCACTTCCAACCTATGGAAAACTGCTGACACTCGCAACCTGGTCATTTGTTCTTGACTGATTGATTGCGTCCTGTCCCAATTGTTCCTCAAAATGTGGAACATGTTACTGTGAGGTTCGATGGGTAATTTGCAAGACTGGCGCAGTTGAAGGGAAGCGTTCAATAGCTGGCAGCCGTAGTTATATGTGCACTAAAAATCGACTTTTGTATAAGCGTTAGAAGGGGATTTTTAACTTACCTTTGCTGTCTCTTGGAACGCTTGATGCTCATCCTTTTGCAATTGAATCTCATAAACAGTACATCCAACATGACCATAGTCCCTTAGCATGACTCTCAATATGTCCCCCAACCAGTTAATCGCCTGCTCAGCGTCTTTCTCGTAACGATCTATAAAAGTGATTTGTTGCAGCGTCAACTTCTGCAGTTCCACGCTATCACTGAAAGAAATATGATTGGGAGATAAGCATGGTTTGCTGTTCATGCTGCAAGTTGAAATTACCTAAATATATTTTTTCTTGCAACAGTGGCATCTAAGACGTCGTGGATATTCACAATGTCTTCGCTGTAGTCAGCTTCAATTTCTTGTCCAAGAGCATCTTTGACTGGCATTGAAAGCATGTCGGACAACTTTTCTCCTTCTCGGAGGATTTCTTGTTCAACCGATTCTAAAACATTTTACGAGACCAGCGTTTTAATTACTATAAAAATTCAAACAATAGCGCACTGAAAGTTGCACTGAAAGGCAAGATTGCTCAATTTCTCCTGCAAAGTTGTCATTACCCAGATATGATTGACTTTCTTGCAACTCATCAAGTTTAAAAGCTGCAGCATCAAAATCGTTGATATCCGTCCCCATGACCAACGAATCAAATACCTCTCCGGTTTTGTCGAAATATTCGGACACTAATCTGAAGAATCGCAGGGACGTTATAAGGATATTCCTCCGCTTTTCCACCCTGAAATGAAGCTGAACTGCAGGACTATTTTCAATATCTCTATCCTTATACCTCATGGCGAAACTTTTGCAGACAAAATCCATAAACTCCTTCTGTGATATCAAATCTTTGTGCTGAGCGACGAGATTTTCATCTGCACTTTCAGACATGCTGTTAATTCGATGAAGCAGTTCAGCATATGCTCCATATGTTTCCCAGCATTGCAGCTCGATGGTTTCATGATCTCTTCTCAGCTCTTCTGCTGATGCGACATCGTATCCCACTTTTTGGTTGAAGCTCATCAATTGCTCAGCAGGGCCTAATTAATATTAGTTATACACATATTTTTAAACTGGAAATATTGAATTTACCTAAAATCCAATTTGTTACTTTGACGACTTTCTTCTTCAATTCATTTAAATCTTTGGTATCGACTAGACTTTTTTCCATCTCGTTCCAGTTCGTCTCAATTTCCTGCTGCTTTTCCCTTATCTCGTTAACTATGCTATGTATTCGTTCTATCGTATCTAACGTATCCTGAGGTGTAAATGTCTGGTCAATATGGTCTATCGATAATTTCCTAGTGCGGTTTTCATATTCAATGTTTTGAACCAGTTCTTTGCCTAAGGTTGAATGGTTAGATAGAACAAACTATAATTTGATCGTAAGTGGCTTTACCTGTTTCAGTTGCGTTGTGTACGAACATTTTTGTGGCTTCCTCCATATCGTAACTGGTATTAATGGCCTCTTCGACTTGGCTAGCTCTAAGTGCTTTACTTCGTATCACATGTTGTCGAAGTTCTTCCAGTTCTTTTATTGTTACTTCGGCGTCTTTGTAAAATTCTTCTACTTTCTATACCCAAAGATTTTGTTATCTAAATGAGAACCTTTGCAAAACCTCAAGTGTTTTAAGTACTTTAGAGTAGTTGAATGTTGTTTTATGGCTTAACTTGTTGAACTCCGGTGACTTTGTGAGTGTGTGGGTTTACTTAAAATTACACCGACGTAAAACATAACGGACATTTCGAACGTAGAAAACCACAATCTCCAAATATTTGTTTTCAGCAGCCACTTGTGGGCATAGGTGTTGTGTATATAAATCTTAATGCACCTCTCTGTGTCCTGCTAACCGAACAAGTTTTTTTGAATACTTTAACGTTCATAAATTATTAATATAAATAAGGTTATTGATAATGACAGTAAATATTTGCACAAGAGATGATTGAACTTAAGAAACTCGCCTGAGGTTCTGATTATTCCTAAACATTAGCATTAGTCTTAGGATAGAACAGGTTTAGTGACGGAAATCACGGATTTAGTTTAAGTTTTCTTCATTGATCCATAATTAATAGATGTGTTTATTGCATGGTGTTTGGCAAAAACATGACTTTGAAATTTTCATTCATTTAAATAATTTTTGTTTCTTCGCGATTTTTTCGCGTCCACAGAAAATTATTATTTTTTATTTATTTGATTAGATACTTATATTTTGACTCAAATGACTGTTAAAAACTGTATTTTCATATAACAGTATCAAGACTTGTTTCTATTTAAAGAAAAATCAATTTAATTCAATAAATAATAAAAATTAACTTAGTTACAAGTTTGTCTTGTAACATTTTTGTTTCAGATACACCCAATAAAAGTAATATAGCAATGTCTTTACTAGCGTCAGTGGCTAAAGCTTTTAAAATGCTAATATTATATTTGAAACCGTATAAAAAAAATACTAGCATTCAAACACAATAAATAATGCGAAAAAATATATTAATGTTAAGTCTGAATTTTGCCTTTAATCAATTTTTGTCATCAAAGGTTTTAATATTAATTGCTAGAGGGTTCACCACACTTAACTAATAACATTTATCCTTCTTTTAATGTACTAAAATCATCGATAATTCTGCTACTAGAAGCCATTGAATTTGAACCGACTGCTAACTCATACTATGAGTATGATATACTCAGAAGGACCTCACGATAAACAAGGTATAATAATATGTAAATATGAGATCAGATTATATAATTTTTTTTCATAAAACAAGATTTTACTTAGGTAAGATTTGCTATTATTCAAGCGGGAAAGCATCAAGGCATGAATAATCGACGCGAAACATATGGTAAATGAATTTAACATAAATTTATTATACCAAAACGAGAATTTGGAATAATAAATATTTGATTAGCAGGGCTTGCCTATAAAGGCGATAAAATGCTAGACTTGAATAAATAAAAACTTAGTGATTGTTGGTTAGATAAAGTGCTTAGAAACTGTTAATAGCGTTTCAATTTCTATTATATATTGCATACAAGTATGCCTAAGTACTTCTACCAGCTTATCCAATTTTGCCTTATTGTAGGCTTATATTTGAGTTTAAAAAACTTATAAAAACTTGTAATTATCTGGCATGTAGCTATTGGGTCAAAACGCATGTTTGCAATAGACTTTCTACGTTCAGCTTCAATATTGTGCAAGGTTTCGTTGCAGTTAAATCATTTTCTAAATATTCAGCATGTAAACATAGTATATCCACCTACTTGTCTGTTCTCGATCCATTTCTCATGACTATAAATTAATCCACCGTCCAGTTCGACAGGAAGCTGCGACTGATCTACGAACTTGTTCAAGCGAGATCTTGGGATAAATATCACCTGAAAATTATTAATTAATTGGAAGGAAGCTTGATTTCGAACATCAAATTGAACAGTGTTTTTTAAACGTAAATTATGTATGACATCAACATGTTTGTTGTTGCAATTTACTGCTATTGAATTGAGCGAACTTTTGCATCTATCGAATTCAATGCGTTCTTTGAGTGCCAGCCTCATTACGGGTTGAATGTTTTAGCCGATAAATATTCCAGTATTCAATTAACTGTATGAAGGAGAAGAACTTGAAATTTTCTTCTCTACTTCGATCTCTTACTTCTTGATCTTTTTGTGGTACGGTGCAATTCTCCACCCTCTGTTTATCCCAAAATCCATCTGGTTTCAACACAACCAACTTTCGAAGTTCCCCTTCTGGGAACGTGTCAATCGTCTGCCTAATGCATGATCTGGACAATCTCCAAGAACCTTTTCTTGCATCTAATAAAACCGTGAATCCGGCTCTTTTTGACGACTTGCTGAAATGTTTTAATGTATTTTTAATTGCTGGAAATAATCAGAAGAAAAAGTGGATTTTAACGGTTAAGTAAAATGCTTGAAGGATTTCCTTTGATACAGATTATGTAAGAAGATGTGCTGAAATGCCACTCAATAACCATTTGTGCATCGGTGTGAATCAATCGGAAAGTCACATTTTCCAATATTTATATGAAAAAGCTGACTAGGTGGAGTTGCAATATGTACTGAATAAATATGGAGTGAAAATGAATCAGGGAATAATATTTAAATTGCATTAATAACAAACAGTAACCATAGCCAAAACCACCAAGACTGATTGATTTATGGATCAGGAGGAAAAACATTGATTGCATTCCTAAAAAGACCTTTTTGTTTTAATATGTTATTTTACATTTACTTGAAAATCTAATTTTCTTGGAATTTTACAATTGAAAGCGATTACTTTTAGAATTAAGTAGTTATAGTTACTTAGTACCAACAGACGAACATTCAACTGATATAATATTCAACGTTCAACAAATAGTAATGGGAGAATATCGGTCACCACAACTACAGGCATACATTTCACAGATTCACTTCAAATCCCAGATCTACGAGTGTTAAAGTGAAGAAAGTATATAATTTTATGATGCTTTGCATAGAGAAAGTATACAGGACCTAAATACTCGATATCTTCGGAGAAGTAATATTTGCTATGCATTATTTGCGAGGAGCGGGCCACAAAATTAACATACAAAGATGCAGTTTCATTGTCATTAAGTGCAGTCTATTACGCTTGCAAAGCTTGTAATGTGCTATTTGCATATTTATATGGAATTAATTGATCAATTTCATTAATTCGGGGTTTAGTATCAGTTAATCTCTAGCAACAAATAGGTTGCTCAATATGGCTATTAAATAATAAAATTGCGTCTAAATGGCAGAATACCACAGAAAAACTGTGTCAACATCGTTCTTAACTTTATTTAAAATTTAACTGTTACAATATGAGTATGAAAACTACATTTCCGTATAAAAATTACGAGAAGGAGCGGATTTAAAGCACTTGATAGTAATAAATTGGAACACATTTAATGTCCTCAAGGTGCCCAGTACTGCAGATCTACAATCGAGTCCATTTGGAACGCTTAGATCTGATTTATCGTTACCTGAAAATAGAAAGCAAATATTTCAAAGGAGTGGTTATCTCTAAGGAAGTTGTATCTGTTGGTACAGTAACCAGAAATATAGGCCGTCCTTCTTTATCGATTCCACCCGGAAGGATTACTGATGTGGTTGCTTCAAGGCAAGATAGACTGGGTTTTTCTTCCATAACCTGAAAGAGAACGATTGATTTATTTTTTTCTTCTAAGAAGAGATTAGGAAAGCTTCTTCTTAGCTATGTTTTGTTGGTTTTAGAAAATCGCCACAAATTGTCGAATCGCCACAAGAAGTAGGTCAAGTAGGTACTTTTTGCAATATGAATTGACGCAGTGGTTATAAAGTTATGAAAATTATTGTCAGAATACATTTCAAATGATGAAAATGTTCATCACAAAAGCAAAATTAGAAAAATTTGAAAAGTTAGTAGGTACGCGAAAGACAAGCACATCCATTTCCTAATAGGATTAAATCCAGCAAAGACAAGGTGAATCTGAATGTGAGTGACGACGATTTGGTGCGAATGCAGGGGACTAAAATGATTGCTAGCTTTCCGAAGGAATCGCTAAACAATTTGCAGAAATAAATTGAAACATGTTTAATGGATACTAGGATCTATGCTAAAATAATGTAGAATGTCCACTTACTGAACAACCTTGAGCAGAATGTTACGCCAACATTTTTACCACTTAGTGGAATAGGTATTTAATAATAACATAAAAATCTCTAATTGCATATTTTCATTAATCGGCAATTTTGCTATCATTAATTCTTCCTGACAGGTTCAACAGAATAACAGTTTATTTCGCTACTAGAATTTATTAGCGAGGCAGACACTTACTAGAGGAATTGAACATTGTTTAATTTGTTCTTAAATTTTTTTAATGTAGTGTTCTACAGTGAAATGCACAACTCGTGATATTATGAATTAGTTCAACAATATTATTCATGAATTGTTGATGTTCAAAGAAAAATTACCAAGAACATGACTCGACTACCGAACTAATGCAGGATGCAATTAGAGCCAAATGGTAAATCCGCACTAAACGATAAATAAGGAAATGTAAATAGCAAATGTCAGAAATGAAAATACCACATCAATTGAAAATTACGACGGAAGTGACCAAAAAATGGCAAACCCGCTTGGATTTGTGCTTAATTTATGTATAGATTATCATCAAAAGATTAATAGTCCAGGATGATAGTATTAATTGACAACCTCCGTTTTATATCCGAGGCATAAATTTAAAAGAATCACAGATACACCTTAACGAATAATGTTTCCCAAAAACTACAAAAAATGTGTGAAGTGTAAGAAATTAATCACGCTTTTAGAATATTGCACAACAAGCAGCTTACAGAACAAAAAGAAATATAGACTCATTCGTCGCAAATCTGATATGGCCGTATAATAAAAGATCTTAAAGTTGCTTGAAATTGGAAATAAAATACTGGCGAATAGTGTGAAAATCTTTGGTTCATAACTAGCACGTCTATCGATATTAATCGTTTTTACCGTTTACTGTGGGTTTCAAAAATTGCATTTCTTTATTGCTACCTATTCCGAATCACAATCGACAAACCAATTGTATTTTACTGCATGCATCACAAATCTTTCTGAACAAATTGAAGAGAATTCATCAAAACCTTTTCATAATGCAATAGCCATATTCGATTTCTCATACGTAATGTTATCTTAATCAACTGCATATCTTCCTAATAATAATTTCACCCGTTTATTCGTAGTTTTTATAATAGAATTTGTTTATACAATAGATAATAATTAAATTGTTTTTTCTCCTGCGTTTATTCAACTCGCTTCATAACTGTTGATACGGATGAAGGAATACATAACCATATGGATACATGACTTTGAACACAAATTGCTTAATTTTGCTAAACTTTATTAGAAAACGAAATTTTTGGCAGATACCTAATTGATATAATTTATTATCCCCGCCGGGCTATGTAGCTGGACAGAACAACATTTTGTACGATATTTCTCAAAAGTAAACTCATAGAATATGATTAACTTCGACGTAAATCACTTACTTCTAGAAGTAAGAAATTTTTTACCCATAATACTTTGCTCGGACATTTACCGACATTTATTAAATGTTTAATGAAATTAGAAGAGGTTAATCAACCCGCATGTTTGTGTGTTACTTTTGCGCAAATAACTTCTTAATTAGTACTGCTAATTATTTAATATCAGCTCGAGTTTTCATGACTATGCAATCAAATCGAAAGTTTGATAAAAGTATACGTTGTATTACCCCATTAAATGATTGAACGGTTTTGTTATCAACTGTTTCGATAACATGTATTTTCTTTCCATGAATATATTTCAGCAGCAGTCTGTATGAAAATTTCTATACGCTACATGACTTATTGTACGCTAAATTAAATGACTGCTTTACGTTATTTAATTGATGATTTTAGACAAATTCCATCTTATCCTGGCGTCCTCATAATCATCTTTTTCATCGCACGTAAAGTTCGTACCGCTCGAATCTTATTTAAAAATGTACCGAATAATTCATCAAACGATTCTACCTCATTCCAGTGGCATCTGTTCCGTATTGTACGTTAATTGAATTAATCAAATCCCGATTGTAGTTATTCATACCATTTAGCTTATATCAAGCATCCGGAGGCAGGAGGAAAATTGCAAAACAGCGATTTTCATTTTCATTGTACAGTAATTTAGTTGGTTCCGGATTCAGATAATATGTGCAAATCATTGGTTTGAATTGAATTTATATATTAATAAAATATTGCTTCTGCTGTAATGATCCTGGTCTCACCTAAACTGCAGCATAATTTCCAACAAGACACAACACAAATAAAAAGGCAAACATATTTCATAAAGTATTTGTTTTACGTGTATCTCAAAGCGATGTGCCTCTAATAGCAACCAAATATAAATACCAGACGGGGAAATAAATTTTTGCATATTGACGTAAATATATTAAGAAATACTTGTGGAAAGCGCGCACTTTTATAAGTCGTTCGTCTCGCTCAGAGACAGTTTTAGACATTTTTGTACCGATTCGGCTGTAAAATATTCCCTTAAAGTATCGCAGATTAATTTAGGGGCATCCTGTATATCGAGGAAATGTAAATCCCAACCAACGTTATTATTCATACACATTTTTGGTAGCTAGAATATGAACTAGCAACTATTAATAATACTTTGCATAGTGCACACTTTGCGGCTCTATCCCGCGATGATAACTTGAGCTTCGCAGCTCAACCGATTCTCCAAATAAGAGACAGATATTAAGAGCGGTCTTCAGATGGGCATCAATCTCGAATTTCCGCATTTTGCGTGAAAAAGTGGAAACGTTTTCAATAGAACTTTTATATGAACAAAATTCGAATTTTTGGTCTCTAATCTCGTAATGAAAAAGGAAAGCTTAGAGCTGCAGCGGTTCCCTAAACATGAACCAAACCTTCGAAGCGGGTTTCATACCGGCATTAATCTTAAGTTTTCGCATTTGGCGTGAAAGCTAGGAACATTTCTAAAATTATATTTTTTGTAAAAAAGAGCATACTTTAAGGCTCTCGAGATATGCAGATCCACGGGTTCTCTAAGTATGCGCCTAAGAATAAGAGCGATTCTCAAATTCGCATTAATCTTGAATTTGTACACTTTACATGAAAACTAGACACTTTCCTAAAATCATGTTTTATATAAAAAAAGAGCTCAGTTTAAAGCTCTGTCATGAAATAACTAAAGCTTCGCAGCTCAACCGATTCTCTAAATAAAAACGATTAAGAACGGTTTGGAGACGCGCATTAGTCTCAAATTTCCGCATTTTGCATATAAAATTCCGCATATAAAAATTTCAAAGTTTTATATAAAAAATGCGCATTTTTGGGTTATATCTTCTTCCACCTGTTCTCTAAGTTTGAGCCAAAGATTAAGAGCTGATTTCAGACCCGCATTATTCTTGAATTTTCGCATTTGGCGTCAGAAGAAACAAGAAACATTCCTAAAATGATGTTTTACTAGTATGTAAGGAAGTTGGACACTTTAAGGCTCATCCCGCTTTAAGGTTGTATTTGTAAGAAAACATACGCATTACTTACACGTTTTTATTTAAGAAAACATATTTGTCCATTTATCGTTCTTATACGTAACAAACTTTTTATCTTCGACAAGTAAAAAATTATTGTAAAATAATCGAGAACAACCAGTTTATCTGCTAGTTTATTAGTGTTTATTTCCGAATTCAATAAAAATTCCAAATGCATAAAATTATAGACTTAACTATATGAAATAATACAAAATATATATATGTATGACTTCAGCTCAATAAGACTAATATTTGGTAAAATAAAATTGCGTTTAGTAATAAAAAAAAATTATTCTTAAAAACTGTAATCCCTGTTATAGTGCCGATTTTCCAGCAGCTCGTTTTGCAAATTTTTAGAATTTTTACACCCGGCAAGCTAATATTGAATTAAATTTGTGACATTTTGTTTTTGTAAGCAGACCTTTAATTTTTTTTTTTATGGAATTTATAATTATCAGCGCACCAAAAAATTATGCAAAAATCTAACTTGATCTAAACTTTTTAAAGACTTCTTAAATTCTACATTTTAATCTATTTGCATCTGATTTTTTCAAGTCAAGTTCAGAATCAATTTGAAATTTTTTATATAAAATGCACTTAAAAATTCACCTGTCAATGCTATGTAATGTTTTTCCGCTCAGCATGCACAGTTTCATTCGCGGTAGAACGTAATCACATCAGCATCGCGGAAACGACTCTTTCCAACCGGACCATTCACAACTCACAAGGTAATCTCATGGTATATACCATGGTACTGGTCGACGGTATCGGTACCTCATGGTTGCTCGGAACCTGCAAGGTTGCCACTTGGGACCAAAGGTACGAAGGAAGATAAAGCTGATGTTAATGTGTTGGAAGAAAGCTTTTAACAGAAGCTTACAAAAACTTGAACTGTGCGTGTAAATGTTGATCGTCAAATGGGAACAATTCGCATCTGGTTTATAATAATAATTTCACTTAATATAAGCAGAGATTATTAACAGTAATGAGTTGTGATTATTTTATAGGGAATTGCGTAAATATTAAGATTATTCTGAAATTGCTCAATTGAGTTGATGTGCTGTGGCGGTTTTTTCGAGCTATCCACAAAACGAGCAACCAAAGTATGCGTTGTTTGGCGAAATTAATGAAGTGCACAATAACTAGTAAGCGCAGGCCTAAAACAACACTTAAAAGTATTTTTTTGTGATTCTTTGATATTATTTTCTGGCAACGTTGTATGTTGAGAGTGTGTCACGACAACCACGAATTCACACCCATACTGGGGTCGGCCGCTTTTCCTTGCCCATACATTTTGACGTTATTTTGCTTGTCTGACTCTTGCGGATATCAATAATTCAAGAAGATCTAAATCTGACCTTAATTGCTTCTGCTGCCGCGGAAGAGAGTGACTGAAAATCCGTCATTGTGACGCAAACTGGGTCGCTGTGCTTCTGCTTCAAAACGCGAACTAATTGAAAATTTTCATTTCAAATGCTCATCTAGTCTCCATTTGGCTATTTATATATCAAAAATATATTCAATTTCAATCAATTTATGTTCTTGTTCAAAAATGCATTTCTGGTCTTTTCGGGCGAATGTAACTTGAAGAGATGATGCAAACTTAAAAAATATCACGTTACTGACGAAAACGTAAAACAAATATTTTAAATATCCTTGGAAACAATTAGTTGTTTATAAGTGTCATCATCAGAAGCCGTCACAAAGTTCTGTTTCATTTATACTTTAACTCCTCGTCCCGTTCGAAGAAAGGTAAGATGCAGATAATTCCAAAACCCGGTCATATAAGCAGTTAAATTTCCAGCCATGTATAAAATGGACACGACCTTCTCCGCATTACTAATCGTTTTTCTGCTTTGTGGCACCCAAGGAAAAACCACTATAAAGCCTACATCCATTGGGTTACCTCCAGTCCATGATATGTTGTTGAATTTTATTCCTCAGGATAAAATACGCGATATCGAACAAGCCCATTTGAACGATGATGATGGCTTTAAAGCCGCTGTTTTGTATTTGCAAGGCGCAGAATGGAAAGCTCTCGTCAGCTCGGTACTGAATAGTACAGAATTTGGCAAATTTTCTGATATGGCTCTAAAGGTACCGAAGTTTTTATATTGGACGGCAATACGGAAAACATACATTTAATTTCTTTACAAGAATGCCTCCTGTAGAATTACAAAAATTATACAAATAGTGTTCTGTTTGCAATAGTCGCAAGTTTTATTCCAAAAGCTAAACGCTGTGAAACATTTAATTTTTATCCAGAATTCGTTGAAGTCTACGGCTTATGGTATGTCTCAACATGTGGCTACAGATTGTATGCCATTTTCTTTGGTAAAAATGCAATAATGTATGGAACATTGCGCTTTACTCAGATTTTTCTCAAATCATCTAATTATTCTACATTGTGCACTTTTGTTTTTATAAATTCACAAGCGACAAAGAGGAAGACATAAAGAATACATTTGTTAAAAATACCTTAGTTCATTAGAGTAAACAATTTAATTCGGTTTAAAACAACCAACCTCCAAGAGCTTTTGTTAATATTGCAAAAATATTTTCAGTTTCAGCACGTGTCTACTGGAAAGTTCATAAATTGCGTTCATAATTGAAAGAGCTTCAGTTGTGATCTGCTTAAAGATTCAACTCCGTTTCACTTCGGGTTTTTATATTTTTTCCAAAAGCTGCAACTGTAATTTAGTCTGTTTTATACGTTTTCAATTTGCAACCTTTAGAAAACATGGGTCAAAAACTTTAAGGTAAAAAATAAAAATTCGTTAATTTGATGACTTTTAGTATAAACTGAATATCAGCCAAGCAATCAATTGCTTGGGAACTTACATTCAATCGTTGAAAGTGGTATCAACGAAGATAACTTCAAAGCCCAACTTGGAACCATTTATTCTCGATATCCAAAAAGCTCTACCGATAGGAGAAATGATCAAGGCTTTGGGATACAAAGGTAATATTTATTCCCATTTCCACAATCAGTAAAATATGTTTTATTTGTGCAACAAAGTGTGGACATATTTTTTCATCTGTTTTTGCCACGTTTCTAACAATATTATTATTTTTGTCGACCAGATTGTTAAATCAAATTTAATGAATCAGTAATTATTTATTTATGAGTAATTTTTATACGACGTTTATAAGAAAAAACTAAACCTAGAACGAAATATAAATCCGGTGCTTGTGGTCAATTACATTTCCAAAAACATTCCATACAACATATAAATGAATGTAATGTCACTCGCGTTAAACAAGAAAGGACAGTTTATACACCACGTAGTTCCAATTAACCCAAAAATAGACTTTTGTACTTTGTCAAGTGAACCAGTTTAGTTAGTGAACAGAACCACATTGAAAAAAGCTCAGTTGCAGTACATATTCAGCGTTGACTTTCCATCATTTTATTTTCTTTTATTTTATATACATCTGCAAAAGCAGACTTTTTAAAGGAAACTAAAAAAAATGTATGATTATTCTGTAGATAATCCAGAAGCTAAAAGAGTTATTGAAGAAATTGGCACCAAAGAAAATCAGAAAATCGCCGAAGACTTACACAACCTTCCAGCAATGGTAAAAATGCGCCAGATCCTGAAGGATATGAACTTCGATGTTGAACCTTACATTTCGCTTGTGTACGCATTTCTAGGATGGGTTCACTAGTTTATGATTTTCGTTCTTGTTTAACTTTGCGTTACTCTTTATCAGAGTTTCACTTATATATTAGTCAGTTTTCAATAAAGTTGTAAAGTAATTGAGTAGAATTTCGACTGTGAGAACGAGTCTGCATGAACTTGACAAAAACAGCTTCACACTAGTGTGTGAGTTGCCCAGCTGAACAATTCAAATATAATCATTCAGTTATCAACACAAACATTAATTGCTGATTGCAGCAAATTGCACCTTGCAAAGCAACATCAGTTAAACGGATTATTTGTAGCATTTATCTCGCAAAGTTAATTAACGAAGACGGTTAACGGTCAGAGCTGGAGAAATTGCCAGTAAATTTTTTGCCAAAATTCCAGCGTGGCGGCGTTTTTTCAGTTCCATTCAAAAAAGAAAGGACGAGTTCTTTAATGCTTGTTATTTGCCTCTCGAATCTCGAAGACGACCAACCAGTCTATATGAAGAACAAATAGCCTTCGGGTAATTACAACGGTACTATAACATCGATTTCTAAAAGGTTTGATGTTTTTAGTACTTGCATCGACGCAAGTGACCAAACTAGTTGGAAATTGGTAAAGCGGAAATAGGCATTACGTAGGAGTTAACTGAAAGTAAACAGTATTCGTTTGGTCAGATTTTTAAAGGTTTTCTAACATCCGTCGCTGTTCACTTTCAAACAATACCTTCTATGATTAAACAAGTTAATCAATTCCTTATATGAAAAGCTCGTTTAAAGTCAAATTTGATTTAAAAGCGGCTCGAAGCGGCTTTGCAAATAAGAGATAATCAAATCGGTTAAACTAAATCAACTTGTGTGCTTTTGCGCTAGATTAATATGCAAATACATTTCACTTTCTTCATAGTATTCCCATTCCAAAACTTTTAGCGAAGAAATTTAAGTATACAGCTGTAAGCTCATGATCAAAAGGGTACTGCTATATTCTTTGGACCAAAAGAAGACGATCTGACCTAACTTTTATTAACAAAAAAGTCTGGCTCC